AAATTATCGAAGTCAAAAGTACACCTTTCATTTGAACAAAATACTACCTATATTTTTATGTTTCAGTCTATTCTGTGACAGCTGCTAATATTTGAATTTTGATAAGGTTAAGGTTCAAGATTAAGAGAAAGATACACGGCATTTAAGGAAAAAGGACTGAGAACTCTTTTTTGAGAATAGCGAGCCCGACAAATTGCAGATTCAACCAAACGCGGTGCCTAACATAGGAAGTTTCGATCTGGGAATCTTGGCGCATTTTGACCTTATGACTAAATGTTCCTTGTACTTCATCTTGACGTAATTTCTTTGTTAAAAAAAGAGGTAATTAAGACGCTCTCCAAAACTAGAAACTGTATCTTTAATAGGCTCTCAAGACAATTAAAATACATTGTGAGGGAACAATGGTTACACCTTCCGTGATCGTGATATGGTCTGCTCTTAACGCATGCGTAGAAGCTTATCACCAGGCCATACGGGCACAGACATGGACAACTTTCATGTTGCTGTTACCGCATTCTTATACTTTTCGCCATCAATCCAACGGCTTCACTGATGTTCCCAAAAAGATCCTCTAAGTGTGCCAATGCATTCCGCTGTGTTCGTGGGTGCATATTTTCCGTATTTAACTGCCCCAATGTACTATAAGCCTAAGCCTACTCTATTCGAGGGCATACAAGTTGGGAGATTAAAAGTAGATCCCTACACTTGTGTGGCTCACAGAATCTGATGTCAGTCTGGTCCCTTATTATAATCTTCATGATTAATTTGTAATTTATCAACTTTATGTTTTCGGGGAAAACTAGGCGTTAATGATCTTTAAAGCAAAAGGCGCTAAAGTCATTAGTCTCAGGGATTTTTTTTTGTTTTTTCTAATCTATATAGGGTTAAATATATTTTCCTTTCTGATATTTGATAACAATTTGACCACATGATGTGTAGGCGCTAGGCCTTTGGGACCGATTAACGCCCTTGATTAGCAGGTTTGAGGATGCAATTCGATAGTCGTGTTCTGTAATTGTCCGTTAATATTTTGATAGCGCCGCAGACACATGAACATGAATCTTGAAGTTTCTACCTTTCTATTGACACTAAATTGTTACACTGAAGTTGTGTCCTCCCTGGTTGTAGCGTTTTTTAGTGTGAATGATTTTGCTAACGGAATAAAAAAAGAGGAAAAATTAAGCTGATTTGGACAATACTATTCGTCTCTAAGTATAAAACCAACATCATACAGTAGAATTGTTTCTACAATGGAAACTTTTCGAGGTTTTTAATTTTGCCTTCGTTTTTTAATTTTGTTCAGACCCATTTGAGGTACGTGTACATCTTGTAAGGTTCCTCACAAACTGTCGGAATTGTATAGAGTGTACAATCCACTCGTAAGATCATTGCAATCGGATTTGTGCGCGAGCTAAGTCTCCCCAATAACGTAACTGTTTCACCGGCGATCAGCTCTATCTTCCGCAAGGAAGGAGGACGCCCAAACATCTTTCAAACAAAGTGAGAACATCCTTACACAAAGCAACAATAATTAACATTAATAATCAGGGAACATCTACGAAAATATTCAAGCTCTGCATGTCTAAGCTGTGAGAAAAATTTCTCTCGTACAGCTTCTGCGTGTGTTTCGTGATGGCTCGTGTTTATTCCTTGACCTAATACAATAAGACTCGGTAAGCCAAATTATCTTTATTGTCAGTTCGGTTTGCAAATGAAAGTCATGTCAATGAATTGGTTTTTATTTCTTGACTCGTAAGACTAGTAAGGCCTTTCTTCTATGCACTTTCATTTTTTGGAACACAATTAAACAGTATAAATGGGCCATGGCAATAGCTATTGTACAACTCAACTACTTTGCTTTGTTTTTCCAACCGAAGAGCCGATTCTTGAAAATAAGTCGGATCGGATCATAGTTTAGAGTTACTAAAAACTAAGTGCCAGATATAACATATATTTGTCTATTTTATCAAAACAATAACTTAGGCTTCTTTCAAGGTTAGAGCTCAGTGACCAGGTCACTTGAATGATAGTAATTCCCGAAAAAAGGTATCAGTACAAAGTTTGAACATTTCATTCCAATTACCGAACAGATGTCCTCAAAAAGTTCCACCGGTTACTTGATGTAGCGTCCAATATGTTTCTTTGTCTTGACACAATTTGATCCTAGTTTTACATTTGTAGTTTATTTGTCTTAATCTTGTATATGCTTATTCAGGCTCTATCATTTCTTCTTTGGCTTACTTTTTAAATTGCACATTTGTTTATTTCCCAGTACCTCTATTGCTACCAGCCTCGAAGCTTAACGGGCTACTCACTAAAAATATGAATAACAGAAAGTAACTCACTCTCTCTCTTACTAAAAAGCAGAAAGACTTCTTTAAACGAACATTCCATTGTTCAAAATTGAGAACTTTATTACGGCGGTGAATACAACGCCATAGTTCGAGATAGCGAACCAATCAGATCGCTTAAACACCAAGATAAAAAGATTGAGCGGTAAGGTTTTCCTAAGGTTTTGAAACACCTTCCGTCTTTCCCCAAACCGTTTTCGTGGTTATAAATTTTACATCTTTACGTTAAATTTCTGCATCTATGGGTATCCTGTATTTTAAAAATACCATTTGGCCGTTTTTACATTCAGTTAAACATAACGCCACTCTCCGCTTTCAATAACAAGCAAAGAACAATGCGAAACTCTAATCCAACAATGGGATGTTTTCCCACTTTGGATGGTAATTTGTTTTGCATGAGAGGCTCCTGCCGTAATAAGGCGTTTTAGCCCCAATATCCACATACAAATTCTCCAGACTGAGTTCATACATTTTCTTAAAGAATCTCATTAGAGAATTTGACAAAACTGAGATCAAAGCATTTTCCTTTAATAACTTTCTTAATTCTCACAATCTTTTCTGTTGATTATCTCTTGCAATTGCTACAAGAAAATTGATGTTGCTCACTCTTGCCACTTCAAGGGCTAATGATGTAACGTTCTAAGAATTAACCCCTGTGACTTTAACTTCATAAAGTGTCATAATTTGGTATTAAAGTGCTGCACTCTACAAACACTTCTTGTAATTCGTTAAACAAACTTGTCTATAAGTTGCATCGAAGGCGAGATAAAGATCACTCCGTAATATACGAAAGCCTCGCACAAAAGGATACCTAAAGGGACTAGCTGCATTGATGTAAAAGAACTATGAATAAGAATCAAATGGTCACCAAGTGATTATTGTGTGGTTTGCTAGTTAAGCGTGATGCCGTGACTGAATGATTGTTTTAGTAATCAGCTTAGTTGGCCTATTGTAGTTTTTCCAATAAAATCTGGTTAAATTATTCTCAAAACGAAGTAAAACTAGACAAAGGTATGATCAGGAAAGAAAAACATGTATTTATCCCTAAAGGTAAACGGAAAAATATTAATGCTAACAAAATAATAATAATATTAATTATCATTATCATTATTTACGAATGAAAAATCGTACATTCTGCAACATGCTTTTTGTATCTTTTGTTTTATGGTTTTGTTTGAGTTGTCTTTAGAAACTTTCCTGAGAATCGAGACAAAGAAGAACGAAGAAGGGATAAAGCACACAGTAAAAGTTTAACTCAGAGAAACACTTTGACCTTTTAATAAGAAATAAACTCCAAAGGCTTAGGCAAATCAGGAAAAGCCGATAAAAGTAAAAGAGAAAGAAACATGAAAATTCTACCAAAAGACGAGCCTATTAGAAAGTTTTTTACAGCAGAGAACAACTTTTTAACCTTCTTGGAATTTTACCAGCGTATAGCAAGACTTTCCGGCGAATATGATTCTTCGGATACTAAACATTTGTTAAATGCCTTCAGCTTAAAATTTTATCACGTAATAAGGCAAGCCAAGTCTCGAATTAAAGTGCATAACAAGGTCGTGTGTGGGCAGGCATCACTTCGCATTCAGCACACCGCATATATATGTTGATCTTATTATTCTGATTTGTCAGGTCACGATAAAGTGACTTTCTTGTTATTGTCGCCCACGCTAAAAAATAGGTTTCATTTAACATATTATGTGAAAGTAGACCTCCGTGCTTGTTTGAATTTACTTTCTTTGTGCAAAACAAAGTACCCTCTATGTCGTGCTCTACTAGGCGTAGTACTTAATTCATATACGATTACTCGAGGTGGATTTGACAAAGCTTGGCTATGTGGACGTAGCACGCAACAGGCCTTCATCGCGTGTTTAGTAGCCCGTCGTAAGCTCTCCTCGTTCGATGACCAGCCCGTAATAATCAAACGGTTAAGAAGGCTCATTAGTAAATAATCTTTTTAAATCCTTGTGTAAACTATTATTAGGTAATACTGTTGCGATGCCAAAAGAGAGGTAAGCATTTCTTGAACACGAATTTCTGTGTACAGTTTTTAGGAAAGGGCTTTCAAATCGAGTTTAGAGTCACAGGCTGGGAGAAGAGGGAAGTCTGGAAGCAACGCACGGACATGTACATGTCATCTCTGTTATCTTGACATTATCCTCCAAAATGCAATACCTTAATCTTTTTATTAAAATTTAATCTACAGACTAAGTACCTATTACACCATTATTTGTTTAACGCTAAAACACTCAGCACATCAACTGCAAAAATGATTGTCTCTTTGTTTGAACTAACTTAAGCAACAGTTTTTACTAACTTGTAGCTTTTACCTCTTTTTGTGCGAGTTACAAGCTTTATGTAAGAAACAAACCATCGCATGTTTGACTACCCTTGTCAATCTCTAGTCATAGTCCGCTAAAGAAAAATCGCTTTAAGTCATTTTCATCCGACAGTCCGTATAAATATATAACACTAATGCTAATACGCTATAAGTATTATCCCTTCAAAAACACGCTCCTCTCCGTTAAATCACTGGCATTATGAAAACATATTCACGATAACACACAAATTTACATTCTGTGTTTCAAGGATTTCATTGAAAAATTAACGCCACCGAGTGGATTTTGATGATGCTCTGAGAGACTGGAAGTTTATTAAGACGATAGAAAAGAAATGTCAGCATCAAAGAATAACGCATGACTAGACAGGATTAGCGAGTTCCGTAAAGAGTGACAGATTTAGGCTTTAGGAATGAGCTCAACACGCTAGTTACTCGTACAATACTAAACAAACAAGCCATCACGCATATATTATACTACGGGAAGGCGAATGACTTAATTCACTGCCAAGTCTAACAGGAGACAGTCAAGGTAAGCCAGAAGTCAGGGAAAGGTAGAAAGCGCTCTTAATTTTTCAACAGGAACAGGTACAAACTTTTAATGATTTTTGCACTTTTTCATTACCACACTTCCGCACTCTTCCTCGACTTCTTCTCACTTTTTCACCATTTTTTTATATTACTTTTCCAAAACAACTTTAACTTTTCTAAAACAATTTCAACTTATTATCAATGGAAGATAACAATAATAATAATAATAATTAACATCACTGCTGTAATCCAAATTGATTACAAATTTTGACTCAAGGAAATATCCCATAAATTGATTTCTTCTGGAAGTAAACTATAATAACTGCCTGATTACACGTTATCAACCGTATATTCATGTAGTAGGTTCACTTTAAACATTATCAGGCGTGAGATATCCGCTATAGTTTGCAAAGATAAAAAAACCCGCAGTTGTCGCATTGGTCTTTCTCCAGCAACCGCTCTTCTAAAGTTTATTTAATTTTCAGGAAAAAAACAATCAGCCATCTTTAAATAAAGTTTAGTCCTGTTTAAGAAAAAAAAACTTCGCTGTTGATTTAACAAGCGCTATCAATTTCTTCAGATTTGATGGGAACTACCTCATCAATAGATTATAACTCTGAAAGAGGCTTCTAAGAAGACTATGTTAAAAATCGGAACTACGAAGTTAATAATATACTAAAAACAACCAAAATGTTACTACCGCAGTTATTTGCACCACAACGGAACGAATTTGCCCGTCATTTCCCGTTATCTATAATGACCGAAATCTCCGTTTGTTCAGCCAGTGAACTGATAATGATAATATCCTATAACGCGGAAGTCCACAAGAGCAAAAAATCAAAGACGACATCAACCTTATTTAAAAAGGTAACTTTGTGGACGTTTGATTAAGATTTTCCTTTCGTCGATCAAACCGTTCGTAAGAAAAAAGCTGTCATCTTGAAAAACGAACAAATGATATAAAAAGGCGTTTTAGCTAGAATTTGCGAAAAAATCCGTGTCGGACTTTATCCGAAGCTTCAATGTTACTATTACGTAAAACACGATAAAGGGAAATTCGGACTTCACTCTCAAAGAATAAAGACAATTAGTAAAGTTTACTGATGGGCCTTAAAAACAATCCAACAAAAAAGCTAATTTTGTTCGACACAACGTACTAGCACAAACATAGCGTGACAAAAATATAGGATTACCAAGAAATACAGGTCCAAAAATACTGTAAAGCGATTTAGTTAAACACAAGGAAGCCTAAGCAGGATAAAGTGTGTTGTTGTTGGCTGGGAACGGAAAAAGCTTTGTATTGTGGTAAATGACGAAGTCAGCTTTCATATTTGGCGTACTAGAGAGATTATTCACCAACATGACTTATACCATGAAGGAGTGAATCCGGTATACATGCATGAACCGCGACATTAGGTCAGTGAAGCTCCAACCTTTGCCTGAGCATTGTTTTCCGGGTACCATCCATTTCCGATAAGAATCCACTGCAAAAATGTTTACAGTAACACTCTCTAAGGTGGACACCTTAAGGACCAGCACTAGGTGTCCTTCTGAGAGAAATGTCCCCCTATAGAGAGTCAAATAAAGGGGGTAAAGAAGGGCAGAGACCATTTCTAGGTGTCCGTTAAGAGAGTGTCGACTGTATTTCTCTTTAGCTGGATCTGGTCTTTTTACCTTTTCCACCACTGTTAAAAGCTTCGGTAATGGTTGTGGCTTGTGGTTACTTTTGGACTAGAACTCTAGAATTCAAACTGTTAAACGTCAAGATTTAAAGTAGTGTTAAGGTATAAGACTGATTGTTGGAAGATATGCACAGTGATTGCTTATTTTACCAAGCAGAATAGATTTCGGACCAGTATTCGGGTTTTCAAAGTTGAACACAAATCAAGTAAGCCGGTGACTGGAATAGTGTGAAGATGAGAAAAAAAAGACAATTCTCAAAACTCTTAGCCTAAATAACGCCCAGGACGGGAATATTGTCGTGGAAAACCGTACTTTGCTTAATGCCGGTTTTTGGAATCATACATGTCCTCACAATCACGATTTTTAAAAAGATTGAACTATTTCTTTGAAGAAAATAAAATGTAAATTGCTGTCGAGAATTTGTAGGTTTTAGCTGATTTTATAAGGGCTTCTTGAGCGTTTACAAATAAAAGGATATCGTAAGACCGAAAGTGAATAACAAAACAAACTGAAAGGAAATTCAAAAAAGATAATTGTCTACAGCCATGCACCTAGTTTACGATCAAGACAATATTTTCCTTATTACATCTAAATCAAAGTCTAATCATCTCACTGACTTACGCAGCCCGTTTGCAAAACTAAAGAAGACGGAAGTTGTATATTTCCTTACTTAACGATTTACAGCAGAACCGCATTCTCTATTTTCCTGGCTAGTTTCTTATTTTACAAGATTATGATCTTAAAAATCTAGCGCTTATTTTCAGTTACATTAACGTGTTGGTCAGAAAATGAATTACATATTTTGTCTCTTGTCCAGCTGGTTAAGTTTCATGCAGTTTGTCACGTAACATTTATGTAAAAATGGTTTTGAAAACACACTATGATCTCGGATGATCACAGTTTCTTATTCAATTAATTACTCTTTTCCCGGTTGTACGCATTACCAAAGCCCCTTCCTAGGAGGTCTGCTTGGCTGCAATTAGGTCAACATCAATCAGTGTCTTCGGCGAATATCTTGAGTAAACTATCGGCATTACACATAGATAAAGGTGTGTACTTTATGATAAACCTGGTTTAGGGTACATAGTACAGAGGCTGGCTTTCTAAAGCGCGATTTGTTTAACCCCATGGCTAGGTTTTCTATTCGGAAATGAGCAGCTTCAAGAAAGCAAATTAAAAAAAGCCTTCTCGGCATCCTTACGCTTTATTACGAAGCTCATATGGATTACGTGTTAATTTCCTTCTGTGCCCTTTATCAAGTCGAAACAGAATTATGGATGTGACAACGGAGAGAAACACTTAAACTTCTGAATGAAATTTGGGTGGTTTCACATCAAAATGCAAAGGTTTTGTAACTGGAAAACAAAGGTATTTAAAAGGGCATCGGTCAGTGAAAAGAACCTGGAGGCAACGTAAATAGAACTTTCAATGTACCTTCTTCTCTTTCTCAGTTTGCTTGCTTATGAGCTCATTATAGGATTCACTCTTCCTTATTGACGATTGGTCACTTTAGCTGAAAAACGAAAGAAAGGCGAAGCAAATCTACTTACAATCTTTTCAACTAATTCATTCAATCCGTCGCAACCCTTTTTGGTACAGAGAAGGTGTGGTGACCCCAGCTTCCATGCTTTTCAATTCGAGAAACAAAAAATACGTATGCATAAGAACTAAATATTCTTAAGGGTGTAGAGTAATTTATATAGCTGTAAAACCTAGGAAACGCTTTCTGTTTCTTAAAAATATGGTTATTGTTTATAGCTGTAGTTGTCTACCGCGACTGATTTAAGTTAAAATTGTACTAGTTCGCAATGGTTTCTCGTAAGGCCAAAAAACGACCACGCGCTATGCATAGAACACAGAATAGTAGACTATACAATATTTTCAACTTTTTGATGGGCTGATCGCCTAGAAAAGTGAGCGATAAATAATTGAAATTAATTTACTGCTATATTTTTCGTAGAATATTGAACAGAAAGCAAGAGGATATTAAGAGGAGGGAATAAACACAGGTTCTCTACTTAAAGCTTGAGGCGGGATAAACAGCTGATAACGAGCATATCAAAGACGTCCGCAAATACAGACAATAGCGTGCAAGATGGAATCAGATTTGAGCTCTTCGTCATTTTCTATAGATAACATCCTTAAACCTGATAAATGCGATTCAACAGAGGAGCCTCGCTCAGCGGATCGGGCGTTAACACTGGCTGAGCGATTAGCTGGTATGTATGAGCATGTGATATAGGTATAATAGAATACATACTGTATATTAAAGTGCAAGCCAGAACTTTCTTAGATTTTAAAACACTGAGCAATGTCAAACACAAAAGGTCATATACAGTTTTAGTCACCAGAACCAACTGTACTTGTCACAGTCTTACTCGAAATTTGCCCTATAATAGAGCATCTTTTTAAGGTGGATTTTACATACGCTCAAGACATTTTCTGTGCAAGATTGTTTGTTTGTTGTTGTTTCGGTTTGCGTTTTCGATTTTTGAATTTCCAGTGTCGTAAATATTTGGCGCTCAGGCTGGAGATTGCTTAACTTTCAAAAAACGATTTGACTGAAAACTTGTGTAGCTGCTTAAACCACAGTGTTTCTACGTAAAAACGGTAGATTCGTCGTCACTTAAACGCATGATAGGGACCTCTGTAGAATAAGCTCCCGTAACTGAAAGAAAATAAAGCAGTGATTTTACTTCATTGTAAAGCAAAATACTTTTTTCTACGTTATTCCGACTTCTGGTAACCACCATTTGAAACATAAGAGTTGCTTCTGTTTATGTTTACTACCCTTCGGTCAAAACAGAGAAAATATATCAAGAGACAAGGCATTTTCCAAACAAAATAAACTAATCTCAAAGTGACACCAGGGCTCGACTATGTGTACATGAGTTCAAGCTACTACCCTAGATCGAGACGAGCCCATTGGTAAAAAGCTTCCGTTTATAACTTCGGAAAAGAAAGCGTGAAATAGACTGACATAGCTGCTTTGGAAAATGTTCTAGCTTGCTTAGGATAGGATAAACGCCTTAGTCCAAATGAAATTTAAGGAGGTAAAACTGAAAAATAAAAAAAAAACTTTGTTTGCTCCCTACTTTAATAAAAGGATCAGTTTCTCTTTGACTAACCAATGTACCTTCCTTGACTAACCTGCTCACCTTCGCCTTAATTTAAGCAGTCTGAATTACGAAAATCGAAATTCAACTTAGACAATTGAAAAGTAGAAAAGATGGTGAGTTTTAAGCTCTGTTAATTCGCGAGTCCCAGACGTAGTTCAGTAGGTTAAGACAGCCCGCGCAATGTCTGCGAACTAGGTTAGAATCCTGACTGGCACTTTTGACGGGTTAACGCGCGACAAAACCCTAAGAGCGTTTGTGTGAGAAGCATTACACAATTTTCAGGTGGACTGGAAGTTTTCTAACTTTATCAGGTGAATAGAATGTGTCTGATTTTTTTTCTAGATATCATACTTGAAGTGCATTATGGATCATCAAGAGGAAAACACCGACGCACGCGCACCGCGTTTACTCACCAACAGCTGCAAATACTGGAAAACACTTTCTCCAAGACACATTATCCGGATGTAGTAATGAGAGAGCAATTGGCTGCCTATATTAACATTCCAGAATCAAGAATTCAGGTAACTGGAAGTAACTGTATTGGCAAAAAGTGTTATTACAATCTGAATAATTTCAAATTTGAGTAGAGTCAATGCAAAAGATATATCTGCTTATGGGCGGCAGACTAGCTAAAAGAGGATAACATTTAAATTCTGTGACCAAAGCTTTGACCAATGATCGCCTTCACCATTAGATAAGAAAATATAAATCCTTAAGGGACTTAAAATAGCATTTGGGAAAACTGGGGCAACTTGACGAGTATGCTTATAAATTAACATGCAGTCCAAAAGAAGTAGAAATCCACATAAAATAAAGCGTACATGTTATGCCTCTTCTCCAAGACAAGTAAAACAGCTAACGAACTGGCGTAAATAATAAAAATCAAAAAAATGTTAGTGCCGAATAAACCGATTTACACAGTACCATGCCATGAAACTGACGGCGCATAAAGATGATTCTGTTATTTCTAAAGACACTCACGAGTAGAGCCTGCTTCTGTCTTCTTGATCGAGGAAGAGAAAATGAGGCTTTGCCTGAATCGCGTTAAAGCCAAAACTTCTGGGCGCGTCAAACCGGTTTTTCTAGTGTGAGCCATTATTGATAAACCGATGGTCATAAATGAGCCTGCTGTACCAAGCGCACGGCTTTTAGGACTGGGTTCCAAACTGTATCCCAGCAGCATGCAGCGCATGCCCAACAAAGATATCACGTAGAGTCTTTCTCGCCAAAATCGAGCAAGCGAAAAAGGGTTTCTGACAGGGTCGGTGTTCGATTAGTGATTAATACTTCATTTGAAAATTTCAGGTGTGGTTTAAAAACCGAAGAGCTAAATACAGGAAGCAAATGAAAGACGGCGAGGAATTAAATACGGCCGAGATGGAAAACAAAGCGATGGACCGTCACTTTAATAGTCAGGAAACTCCTCCTTGGAGCCCACAACATTTTTATGCAACCGGTGGCTTGCCATTTGGACCAGGGAGTGCTGTTTCAGCTCCAAGCAATTTCGGACAATACTCCTGGTCATCTGTGCCGTTGTATACCTCAAGTCCTTGCGCGTGTATACCTTCATACTCTGAAAGTACAAAAAGGGCTTGGTCCGCATGCACGGCGTGTTATGAAAATACGGACACTAAAAAACATTTAAATTGACTACCAGTGGCTTTATCTCTTTAACAGTTGGTGTACGGGCGGTCGAGATTTGGTTAACTTGAGTAAAAAATGCTGTGTATGTCTTTTTGTGTATATAGATGTTACACACCCACTGACACTAAATTCCAGTTAACCTTTTTCACAGTAGTTATTTGAAAAAGGAAAAACTAACTTACTTTGTAAGCTTGGCATTTAAAAAACTCTCACCAAAGAAAAGCTGAGTTATAAAATCGTACTGAGCAACAACTTAGTGAAAATGGATAGGGGATTGTCATAATCAATATTGAAGATGTAAAATATCTTAAAAGCCAAAATAAACACACCTCATTGTTTGTAAATATTTGGCAACTGAGAACTAATAAGTTAATAAACTCAATCAGTCGCCGATTTGACCCTCCAGGATAGTAAAATTTGTACACTTCTCAAGTGAGATAAATTGTGTGTTGTAGTCTAGAACATGGTATGGAATTGTGGTTTAGGTAGATTATTTCACAATTTAACCAAATAGTTACCTATGAGTGTGCAAACGACGTTTAGGAAACGCTAAATCCTCCGACGTTTTTAAAATTTCATCTTGAATGTTTAGTTTTTGGATTAAGGGCAGTAATCTGGTTTCGGATTAAGATAAGAATTCTCCGAGAGCTAGACAGTTTATCAAATCCGCACACAATATAGTGCTCAAAGTATTTCTAGAGATTCAAGATAAAATTAAAAGCTAGAGTGAAATCTGGTCATAATAGCTAACATAGTGCGGGTACACAAAGCTGAACTGAAATAAGAGAAATATCACTTAATCTGACAAAAATGGAGAAATGTCTCGCAAAACACGAACGACGAAAAATTTATCATAGGAGGCAGTAATAACATCTTGGCAGAACAACAACGATGTTCACCAATTCAGTTAACAACAAAGGCTATGTCTTCAGCTGGGGTGTCTTGATGGGAGAATCGCCGGCACATTGAGACACAAAAAGCTGGATATCGAACCTACGAATGACAAAGTCATCACACTCAACTTGTCATCTTTCTGACTATGATTGATAGCATAACTGTCCTTTGATGTTGGTACATGGATTAAAATTTGAATGCATTCACTATAATATTATCATAACTTAATTACGACGGAGGAGTCCTAAAGAACGGTTTGGGAGAAGATTGTGTCACAAAACCCCCTGTATATAGCACATTATCGTACATGAATAAAAAGAACTTTTTACTCAGTGTTGACTGTCTTGTTACTATGTGAATTACAACTAGGACGTGATGTAGAAAATATTAAAAAAGCACTTTTTAGTAATATAAAAGTTTTAATTTACAGTAGAATTAAAATTTCACTTTGGTCAAAAGTGTCACACACCGACCTTTGCCTTTCTTCTTTCTTGATTACCCTTGCTTAAAACAGAAACTTCCCGTGACTCTCTTAGAGAACAGAGAGGCAAATAGATAAAGCCAAGCAATAAAGCCAGCTATGAAAGAGAGAAATTAAATAAGTTGCGATGAAGAAGAGAGAGTAAAGAAAAGGGGAAAAGGATATAGCCATAAAGATTGAAGAAGTAAAAGTAAAAAAGATAAAGAAAAGAGATCGAAAGTTAAGATTTAAAAGGCACTGATCGAAGAACAAAGGGTAAAAGCAACGAAAAGAGATTAAAAGAATGGGAGTGATGAAAAAAGGAAAGGAATGTTAAAGAAAGACTGCAACACAGGTGAGAATGAAAAGACTGAAATAAAGAGAAGTGAGGTGAAGAAGTGCGACAAGAGAAGTTCCTCTTCGAGAGAAAAAAATTAAATAGACAGAGGCAGGAAGGCAAGAGAATGAAGGAGGAAGTGAATGAAGGCGAGAGAAGTAAAGTGAAGGCGGGAGTAAAACATGGAAATAAAGATGACGTGGAAGAGATGAATGATTTACCAGTTGCCGAAAAGCAACGGTGGTGCTGCTTCGGTTGGGAAATGAAACTTCAAAATTTGTTTTTTTAACAGAAGCCTGAGCTTCCAACTTAACCGATATTAGTAACTCATGAAAGTTAAATTATACAGTAATTTGAAAGCGTGCGCATGTCACTAACAACAATTTCTTAGCGTTTTTCCTATGAGTTTCATTAATTCTCAGTCTGTCAACGGTAATGGGTTAACGAACAACACGCACAAGTGCTTGTCAACGACAGCATCGATGTGAATATTCTGGTGAAAGGAAAGGCTCCCGTTGAGTGGACATAGTCTTTATACAAAGAGACAAGGCGGGGAGTCGGAGGCCCCTTAAACTTCTCCTCTAGGTACACTCATGTAACTGGGTTAATAAAGTTAACTTATGCTTCATAAATCAATTGTTGATGTTGGTGGAGTCCCACTTTGGGTGAGCTCTGATTGCGGAGATACCAATCTGGGATGAATTTGGCCTCAGGAGTGGCCGTTTATAAAGCTAGGAAAATCCAGATACACAAGAAGATTTTCCCAGCAAATGTAAGCGCACACCCAACACAGCCCGGAGCAAGGGAAGAGTGACAGGGCAGCGCCCCTCCCCTCCCACGCCATCGTCTTTATACGAAGAGACAAGGCTGGGGGGAAAGGGGGGGGGGTCCGAAGCGTCTTAAAATTCTCTTCTGGCTACACCCCTGTATCAACCGGGTTAACAAATTCAATCTACCACCGCAAAAATATGAAACGGTGACGCAAAAGGCTGGTCACGAGCCAGTTGAACCCTCAGAGCCGTTCAAGGGCACACCCCCTTGGGAGGGGGCACTCCACAACGTCTTATACCGGTAGGCTCCGCCCTGAGGTCCAACCTATTACCCTTTTATATACCATTTTTGACAGAAATGGTACCCCTTTCGTTTACCTTCTATTGACAAATGATACCCCTTTCTCATACCTAGCAGTTATAGTGCTGCATGCCTTTTAACAGCCATAAAGAGTGTCTTTTGGCCCTTTTAGGTCCTTTTACGTACCGAAATGAAATTTTTCCTTACCCTTTTATATACTTCAAATCATGAAACCCCTACCATTTTACATACCTGAAGCCTGAAAAAGGTACTCCTTTTGGGGGTAGCCTCTCTGTATAGACCGTTATAGAGAGTCTCCATACACACAGAAAGCCGCACAAAATCTAGAAAATAAATTCCTTTTTCAAATCGGCACTTTAAATCCCTATGTAATCAAAGAAGTTTTTTCATTCCACTAGTTTATCTTGGTTTTCGTGTTCCCATCAAGAACAGTTGCTCCACTTGTGGTTCAAATTTATCCTTGGTTTAAATTTTCTTTCCCTTTGATTTAAAGTCATTATCATACATTACCATAGCCCCAAACTAAACGAAATAAAATTTAAACCAAGGATTAAATTGAACCGCGACATATATACCACACACAACTCACAAACCTATTCGCCTGCGCCTCACTAACTGAACGCCAAACTGAACTAATCCACTATGATGCCGCGAAACAATGTGTCGAAGTTATTTGTTCACGATTCGAGTGATGACCAAAACGTTAGATCTTTTGATGGACAGACATTTCTAATTATACAATTATAAATAAGACCTACGGGACAGACACATACACCACTAAATTGTACGATTGTTCCCGTATAGAATCCTTTTTTTCTTTTTTTTATCCGCGTTTATTACGATTAGATAGGTTAAAGCTATCTCAAAATGCGACAGGGTTGGTTTATTACAATTTACGACTGAGAGTATAAAAATAGCAACAGGTTTTTTAAATTACCACAGAATAAGCTACCTCTCAAAAAGATGACGATAATGATAATGATGATGATGATGATGATATAATAAATGCAAATGCAAAATCAGCTTAATCAATTTTTCATAAAAACTACAAAGAAAGCTGTAAAAATTTTCATGAAAAACAAAATATATTTCTAAACCAATGTAAATATTATCACATAAATGCTTAGAAAAAAGTAATTTAAATGAACAAAAGCAAGTATATAGAAATTCCAAGAAAATTATACAGAAAAATAGAAACTGCGTCGCAAGTGGAGGTTGGGTGCCCATGGGCCAGGGGGCTGCAACCGCAATACACCTCAAGGCGGAAGAACACCCACAGGCCTACCAACCCGCAACCCAGCCACGAGCCCCCCCGCGCCCAGCCCCCCACTATAGCACCCGTCACACTGAGGCCAGAAGCCCAGTGGAAGTAAAATGAACCAACCCCCGGAAGAATAAATAACTAAATAAATAAATAAGAAAGAAAGCGGAGGGGGGGGGGGGGGAACAAGAGAAACGCTACGCTATTGCAACGCCACGCTAACAAAGCTTCGAGTACAACGCAAACACAACGTAGGCACATGGCCTCCGCATGCGCCAAAGCGACATACCGCTGGACAGGAATCTGCTCCCATGCTCACGAACAATGGTAAACGCTACAAACACAAACATAGTCACGCAACAACGCTACAGACGACCAACACGCTACCAAAGAATGCCAAAAACACCCGAGACCAAAGCTCCTAGTCATTAACTACATTATAAAAGATTTAATAGTATTAACAATTCCTAAAAATCACAAAGAAACGTAAAAATAAATCAAAAGTCCCAGTGGACAGTTCCTTCAACAGTTCCAATGTCAATGGGAGCCTTGACATTGACATTGAAACGATGATAATAATAGTCATCATCATCATCATCATCCACATCAACATCAAACAATATCCGTCTCATCGGTGACCATGACCATCATACGTTTCTGAACAAACTTCAAAAAAGTCAACATCTTGACGATAAAGTCACCGAGGAAGCCGCTAACTAAGAAAGAGAAAAGAATTTGGGTCATCTGGACGAGGCCAATTAAAACTTTAAGTTAAAAGATCTCGACGGGCTGACAAGGTTATCACGTGAAGAAGGAGGATGAGGACTTATGGAGATCAAAGCTATCTACAATCACACAAAGATTAAGATGACCCCGCCCCACTTCTTTAACACTTCGGTTGCTGAACATATTAAGTTGGTGAAATCTTTTCAGAAGAAAAAGAAAGACAGAAATTTAAAATCAGTATTCAAGGATGCTGAGAGATATGCGGGAGAACCGCAGTTAGACTGCTCATTGAATGAAAAATCTAGTTACTATTTACGCCGACCAGGTAGCAGTGGTGTACTAAGAAGCCCCGAAAAATCAAAGAAGTTCTACGAAAAAATACTGAGGAGATGAGAACAGCCCTGGGTGGGAAAATATGTAAACCAGCACTGGAACTGACCCAGAGATCGCAGATATTAGAGGGCTGGGAGGACTATTTGTCATATCTTGGTCTAAATACATTCCTTATGCTTAGTGACCATAATCAATGCCACGATAATTTCAGTTTTAAATGATCTGTGGAAAATTGTCTCAAAGAGGTTGGAAATAAATATACAGCAAACTGGTTGCTGAAACATGTTTAATAGATCCATAATATCAAAGGAATTCAAAAGAACGATTCCTCTAAATATTGGCGATACTTAATTTAAAAAGGAAAACTGGCAGTCTTAATTTACAGCATCCAATATGACTAGAAGGCAGTTGTGTGTGAACGTTTTATCTTAGGCACGTAAACCAGGCCCCTTCTTAATTTCTTAAAGCCGGAAAGGAGTAGTCGCAGTAGCAGTAGCAGTAGCAGAAAAAAGAGGACCATTTTGTCGTAGCCGTTAGCTTCTGGGAGGTTCCTAGGACCAACGCACGCGACAACTCCGGAAGTTTGTAAATTGTAAGCCCGAAAGTATCTTATTGCCTAAAATTTAACCGTTACGTTCAATGTAATACGATGGTAAACGGTCTGGATCTACACCTTGCATGTCATGCATATGGTTTCCGCCCCGCCGACATATCTTTGCACCAACAGCAACCACCGTACTGAGTGGTTGTGGCGGTACAGTTGACTCCCGCTAACTCGAACCAAAATGACTTTCCCCTTGATTTCCCTCATACATTTACTATAATTTTACCCTTTTTTAAAATTGCGTGTTACTACATCACTATAGGACTGAATTTATAATTAGTTCCGAGGAGTGTAAAACTGTGTAGGTTTAAGCCACTACAATAGTAATACCAGTTTCTATAAAAATAGAAGTCAAAAAGGGGATTACAAAAACACATGGAGTGGGCGTTGTCGTTGCAAGACCTGGCCCAATTTCTGAAAAGCCGAATAGCGCTAGTCCTGTTAAACAATTTTAATTCACATTGCATTTAACCAGGTCCCTAGTATAGATATTTCAGGGAAGAGAATCATATGTTTTTGTGACTAGGTCTCCAAGAAAAGGGTCAAGAATATTTTATAAGCTCCAGTTACATGTTCCTAGACGAGAAACCTTTCATTAAAATTCGGCTTAACCCGGGGTTTAAACTTTGGTACAGGTTTTGAAGACCGGGCCCTTGTTGAGATCAACAACCTACTGATAATCACGTAACGGGAAAACCGTGTAACTGTCAAGAAAAACTGTACTGGAATAACTAAGGACGACACAACATTGAAAGATGTATGGATTTAGTATACAGGAAACTAGTTGTAGGGTCATTCAACGCGACAGTACCTTACAGCAAACCGCTATTTTTGGAACCGGATAATGGAATAAATGATTTTGACGAAAGCATGTTATTTCCTCACACGATGCTACCCGACAACATCATCCGGCGTTTAATATAATTGCTTGCCACCGAAAATTAAAAAACCATCCATCAAAATCCACATGTTGAGTGGATGAATAATATTTTCTTTTGCTAAAGAATCTTAAATATTTTTGAAGCGTTGATGACCGAACGAAACCTTCTTTGTTACCTTAGTTTTGTTGTAAATCAGTCACTTCTATAGGACTCGCGCTTTCAGAAAAAATGAGTAGTGAAACGGGATTTTTCATAATTGAAAAGTATTATTCAAGTTCAACACTGATCAACTATGTTATGTTAATAACTGCTTGAACTCAAATCAGTTGACCTCAAACGTCTCATTGTTCAGCATAAAAGTCTGCTACCCTAAAAACATTCATCGAGGGCTTGTCGCCACTGCTTTGAGAGTTTTAACGTAAACAAGTCGCATACAAGAAACATGTGTTTGAAATACAACAATCGATAGGTCACGAAATATTATTTACAAAACCCTATTAAGCCTTAGATGAAAAGCTACATCAGCGAACCTCTTTTTAGGCCTTAAAAATGCCTTCTTTGTCCACAGTATAGCCAAATATCATAAATTTTTTGTACAAGGAGAAGCCGGTGTACCATGAAACAAGCGTATGAAAAACACGGTAAGATACGCAAAAAAGAGTGGTATCCACGGTATAAGGGAAAAAGGAAACACAAGTCTTATTACCCTTAGCATAAAGTTTCTTAACACAAAAAAGCAAATGTCGAGTTTGATATAAAAGAACGCGAGTACTAGGGATAAGACACATATCACTTTGTAGCCTGCGTAGCAGACGCTTGGAAGTAGTGGGTGAAAGAGAGAACGGGCGCACGCGAGGGGTGCGCGCCCGTTATTTTTTTGTGCCCACTACTTCCAAGCGCCTGCTACGCAGGCTAATCACTTTGTTTCTGCTTTTAATAGGAGTAAAAGTGAAAAATAGTCGATTCTGAGCCGATTGAAAAAAATGGCTCGGAAGACTACAATAAAGTGGCTCAAGATGTGATCGACCTCGAGAGTGGAAGATAAGGTGCTTGATTATTTAGGATGCCGTGGACGTCGAGCGAGTGACCGGGCATGTTGATAAATCCTGCTTGGGCTTCAAAGAAGGCTTCAATTATAGACTGATTTGGAGTTTTTAATGAACATGATATTTGCTTTTAACATATGCAATGTGATAAAATAAATCCAATCCTTCTCTTCCCGTCCTTTAGTCGTGATATGCCACACCCAAAGCACTGTTTCGTAGAAATATTACAAAGAGCGCCCAAGAATCGAATATATATAGTAGACATCGTTGTGATTGAAACATATGTACATCACTATAATTATGCGAGTGTTTACTGTCCTGCTAGTCTTATGTCGTAGTTTAGGTTTGAGACTTTTATCTACGGCGTGTTTTGATTTCGGCTTTGCAAAGCTAATCTTTTACTAACACACTTACATCGGTATACCATTTCTAATGGGCTTCTAAGCAAAGTAATTGTGGCTTAGCTTATCTGCTTAAACTAGCGGCAGTATTTTTACATCGTCGTTTAATTAAAAACCATCTGCCTTAGTGACAGTAATTAAATCAACTTGTCATCGGCAGTAAAAAGGGCATTCATCTTTACAAAGAGAACTTCTAATTGAATCGGAGACGAGAGCAGTCATCGAATACTCACTGAATACTAAAGTAATCGTTTGATTCTCGACCCATAGGCTTTAAGTTTTGTATTTACGGATATGGAAATATATTTTACATTTCCTCGGCGACATAAGATGCATAAGTTCGAGTTAAGCAGAATTAAAGTGGCCCCACTTTTTTTATACTGGCTCACGTAAGAGCCGTGTTGTCGTGCACAATCGGAATTCAATTTATCATTTTTGACAAACTGAAGAGGTCATAGAATGTAAAATTTACGTTAGGCTTCTTAAAAACTATCAACAAGCTTGTATATTGATTTTAAGTTGACTAAGTTGATCAGCAAATTCACATTTAAGCCTTTCATAGCTGATAGAAAATTTTCTTGAAAAGGACAGGGGATATTAAACAATACAGGGTAGGGAGGGTTATCGCTTTGCAAGGCACGCAATCGAATTATATAGTTTTTAAAAGACGATTTTATTTTTTTTAAGCTCTTACCTGAAAACATGTGGTCAGAATTGTAGCTTGCAAACGAAAATTGCACAAAACGCCAACAAACCGTGAAGTGTTCTGAACTAAAGGAAAACAAAGCTTCTAAATTCCACAAGTTTGGGTGAGGTAAGTTTGCAACTGATAAGAACGGTGTCTGATTAATCATACGATGCATGTGAATGGCGAAATTGAAATAAAATAAAATAAGCTAAGCTATTGTACTCTGTTAGAGTATAGATGACGGAAATAGGAAGGATAGAAATAATTTTCCGTGTTCATAATCCAAGTGATATACACTTAATGTAAATACAGATTACCAGATGTTTATATGCCCGTATTTGGCAAGTTCTGTCCTAAGTCAAACTGATACTTGAGTCTGTTGAAGACTTCGTGCACAGTGCACAGTGTCTTAAGAAACAAATAATGAATCAAATAGAGTTTCCAGGTCCAAACGGAGGATCACAAAGAGGAACGAACGTAAAGTCGTCCTCTTTCACGATAGAAAACTTGTTGAAACCTGAGAAAAAGAGAAGCGGATCAGAATGTCCCGTGGAAACACCTTCCAAGATAAAAGCACTTTCCGTAGCAGCACATCTTGCAGGTTTGCATTTTTCTCTTTCATCTTCCATTCTTTCATCAGTATGAGAGTGCGTTGAGCTTTTATGAGAGGGCTGATTTTGTAAAACTACCAATCGAAATTTGTTTCAGTGAAATCTATGCCTTCAGTTGCAAAGGAAACTTCAGTGCTGGGTATAACATTTAAAAATGGTGTAATTGTAGTTAGGATTAAACATTATCCCACCTGTAGGTGCTTTCTATGCTAGCTAATTGAACTAAAATACTGATTTAGTAAATTGTTTTCCCAACCATCTCCAAAAACGTTTGAGCCACGATTCTCTAATGTCATGCACTTTCTATTTCTTTCAAAAATAAAAATGGTTTAGGCAACATCAGTTGATATGTTTCATAACATAGTAACCCTTACTAGTAAACTATGGTGTAAGTTGGTTAAATTAGGCCGATTGTCTGTCCTCCGTTTGTGTAGATTTTTGTGTTAAAAAGTCTAGACTAGTAACTGAAAATACAGACGTAATAACCATGCGAGCGGTGGATGTAACCATGAAACATGGGGCACTGCTAAATCGCTACAAGGTTTGGTCAATGAACATCAACTTGAAGCTTTTCTTGTCATCGATGACTCTCAGTCACAATATTGAATTTGTCCACTGCAGAGGTCAGTACACATGTAAGTTACTGTCGTTATTTTAAAACGGACAAAAGTCCAAATCTTTCCTCTACATTTCAACACTCAAAATTCTAGAATACCACAAACATGCATCAGGATAAATTCCAACACTTGGCCTGTAACCAACGCCGAGTCTTTACGTTTCTCAGTCAAGATGATCACTCCTTTAGTCTCGTTTAAGTTTAACAAGGGTATTCTTAAAACCATTTAACGTTCATTTATATAATTATTGTAGCGCTTAAAGGGTACTGTTAGTTGTAATACCACGGATTAATGTTCTCGCGCGGAAGAACTGTTTTATTTGTAGGAAACGAAACAATTATTTCAATTCTTCAGTCTTACGATTGAGTAACCACCTGTCATTGGATTGCTTTGCCAATAAAACCAGTCTTTACCTCCCAGTAAGATAAATGAAGTTTTAATCCATCAGTTGACAAGACAAACGGAACCGTTTGAGGCTTTCCACTAAATGCGGCAACAGACAAAAACAGTGTACAAGCATGATGTAAGGATTTGGATGTCTAGGTATAGAAAGAGCTGGGCTGACTACTGAAGAGCGACTACCTTTGCTTAGTGCAGTTAAGAACTGTTCGCGTGTGAAGGAGAAATGAGCTTCACTAACGGAGTTTTTGGAGTAGAATAAATTCATTATTTTAAAGAAAATTACTCGGTAGAACGAGGCAGGTGAAGATTGGCCATTAATAAATAACGATGCATGGAAGCCATGTCAAGAAAGTGTACAAATAACCAAGTCCAACCTCATGTTAACTCTAACCAAAACAAATCTTCAGTATTTGGGAATTTTGAACTTGAGCAATTTCGCGTATCCCTGAGCTATCGCAATTCTACTGACACGGAAATTTTGAAAAACAAGCTTAGGATTGAAATCGGCGCCATGTGTGCTATAAATAAAAGTGGTAGTTGGTTAACTCGAAATGCGCTTAAATAATGAATATAGGTTACATGGCTTAGTCTAACAAAGATATACAGTACAAGTTTACCTTTATATTTCTAGTTGAATATCCAGTGCACAATCTATAGACAAATTCGACCCAGACTGACTTAAGGGATACTATTTTCCAAGAAGACATGTAGAAACGACACTTGTCGCTGTGCTGTATGTCTCGGGTCACATTAGTTACAGACACACAAACACTGAATCGAAGGTTTTTTGCAGAAGCAAGCCTTTTCACCGACAACAAGAGCCATTTTCTTGACGAAAACTAAGTCAAATAATGGAATTGTCCATTTGAAAATTGGGTACCGGTGTAGCTATTAGGAAGGGCTTCACGAAAATTTATGAGATGGAATTTTAACAAAACTATATTGTCTGCTATTTTCTGTACATTTACATGCCGATAAACATGTATGTCTATATATTGTAAGCTGAGGCAAATAATAGCATTTTCTATTACAAAATTAGGGTGTAGCTATTGAGAGTGGTTTCTCCAAAATTGATGAGATGGAATTTAAATACAACTGACAGTCGTAGTATTCAATCATTCTCCGCTCTTTTCTGTATATTCATATCTCCATAATATTATATGTTTTTAAATATTGCAGCAAAGTTAAATTTGATTAGTATCATAACTTTTTACCTATGAAAGAAGGCTAAAATGGCTCGATGAAGAAAATAACCTAAATTCCATCTAGACAACGATTGCATAGAGCCGACATGCATGAAATTGAAGTATTAGTTATTTGCTGACTGATAGTGAGGTTAGATCTTAAGTCACATTGCAAACACTGAAGAAACTCAACGAAAGCACAGAGGAGGAACTGTGAATTCTAGGGAGTGCATGGTTTAACATACACCAGGAAGCTTGCTTTGTGAAAAGAATAATGGACCTTAGCCCGCTTTTATCGCAGATATCACAAATAACCAAATGTCCTGTAAACTTAAGTCATAAACTCATACACGCCGTACTCCTAACACGTACAAAGATGGCAAACAAAGCCATGTTATAAATTCAAACTAGCACTTACTAGACTCTCTTAGATAGCAAACAGGAAAAAGGAATCGATTGTAATTTTAGCACTTTAGGTGAAGGATAAACATACATCCAACGCTACATCCATGGATCTGTTTTGCTATCATTGTATAGGTCACAATACATCATATAAGTTGCCATTTGTATGTCCCTATGTTTCCTTAATTACTTCTGTTTATTGTCTGCGTACTTTGAAAAAGGTTCTGCGAGAACCTCGTTTCAATACTTTACGGTCAGTTTTTGTATTGTTTTTTGCAACAGTTTTTGATACTGAAGTAGTCAAGCTAAGTATCATTGATTATCAAGCTAATCAAGCCATTATTTCTTTGATTCAGATATCATACTGGAGGCTCATCATGGCTCTTCTGTTCCACAGTGTCGGCGCACGCGCACTGCCTTCAATCGTCGTCAGTTACGTGTCTTGGAAAGTACCTTTCTTAGAAATCCATATCCTGATGTGGCTCTGAGAGAAGAGCTTGCTTCCTTAACAAATTTACCCGAGTCGAGAGTACAGGTATATTTCGACTCTTCCTTTTGGAGGAAGCGTGGCCGAGCGGTTAGAGCGCTGGACTTGTAATCTGGAGGCCCCGAGTTCAAGTTCCGCCCTAAGATCCCCTAACCGCTAGCTGGATTTGTTCTCGGTAGTCCCAAGTTCAAATCCTCGACCACCCAGGGGCACTCAACGAGAATATAACTCAAAACCACTTAAACATAGCATTTTTAAACGTATTTTAGTATTCAAACGGTAGATATAGGCATATTTTTATCCCCTAAAAATTTTGTTCGGATTTCCTACCTGAAAGTCTGGTGATCCGAACATTATAGGTATCAAAAGTGACCTTTTCGAAAACATCAGTCAGAAACAAGGCTCCCGAAAATTCTAGGTGACCTTTTTAGGGTAAAAATCCGTTACAAATGGGCAATTATGCCATTTTTTAGATGTTCGAAAATCGTAGGAGACATGAGGCAAGCAAGAAATTTTACAACAAATGTTCCGAAAATTCTAGATCTGAAATCGTCTTCCGAACCGATATTTTCCGAAAATTGACGTTGGGTGCCCCTGCCTTGTTAATAGCCAACTGGTTCGCCTCCTACCAGTTGGGATTCTTAACCCTATTATGTCCATTTGAATTATTGATTCATTATCCCTGAAAAGCCCCATAAAGGGGAGAGGATAATCAAGTATTTGATTTTTTCTTTCTTGAGTTACAATAGCAATTCATTTGTCAGTAGTATAAGACACTCACTTTGAATAACATTTCCCACTACACTGCAACATTAAATTTTTTCATGTTTCTGTTTCGTTTGACAGATTTGGTTCAAGAATAGAAGGGCAAAGTTTAGAAGGGACGGGAGTGGTTGTAATTCCTGCGCATCATTTCCAGTTCACTGTCCATCTTACCAACCATTTCAAGGACACTCTAACACAGCAACAGACCAGTCTATGGTGTTTTCAAATCACGAGAGACCCTTATCTTTGACGAACAATGCTTACCTTCAAAATCGAGTGATACAAGGGAATGGCACCAGTGCTTTCTATCACCCACAACGAAATTCCAACAGTTATCCTGCCTTTGGAACTTATGTTTAGGAAATTTCAGATTTCTGGGAAAATCATTAGCATCCATTTTACATGACTGGTTTATTTGCACCTCCACTGGCACTGCAACGAAAATGAAAGTCAACCACTGAAGATCGAGTCAAAAAATCTATTTTGGTTTTATGTCTGCTTCTAAGGAATTTACAGGAGCTATTCCACAACTTTTATAACTAATTTTGAAAATCGTTGGTTGATTTCAGTGTTTTCTACCGCAATAAGGTCTTTGTACTAAAACTTTCATGACGCATTTGCTGTATTGATATCGCTGATATGACGCACTCTGCGATCGACTGAAGTATTGAATAAAAGCTATGTAAAGGAGTAATTACTAGTGTCACTTTTTTCCCGAGACCCAGTTTGCGACATTTTACATTACTTTAAAAAGCTAGATGGACCAAGCAATACCACCAATGAATCTTGATAACGCACTCAATAGAATGAGGAAGAGGAAGCCTATACAAGCAGACTAAAAACTTATCCTCATTTCTTAACAAAACAGGTGACCATACCAATAGTACCATTAAATAAAACCCCCAGTTATAGGTATCTTCAACTGCTTCAATTAATCTCAGAAACAAGCTCGGTAACATCACTTTGTGTATGGCTCATGATGGCTGTATTGTAATATCATCTCATTTTACTTACTTGAAATGTTCCGGTAGATACTGAAACTGTTTTTTTTTATGCTTAGGCAAGACGTTCTAGTTGCCTGTAGCACTACCGCTCACATTCCTATCATCACCATTCACCAATGACCTCAAAGAAACCTTAGTGGCCGAACATTTCATTTAAAGGGGAAGGGGAGGGGGAGTGGGGGGAAGGGGGGCGGCAGCACCTCTTTAACAGGCCCAGTTTTAAGAGTTTGATGGTGAGGTTTTATAATGATTCACTGATGAAGTTTAAGGTTGTCGAAGATGAAGAGAAGTCAGTTGTACCACAAAATATTCATAACAAGAAAATAAAACAGAACGGGAGTCACTGAACTCTAGTTAACTGAATAGGCCAATTTTTCTTGTATTTCGACAGATACGCTGATTAATCTCCTAATAAGGAGACTTTGTGTGTGCCACTGATCCTAAAGCGACCTTTCGGCGATGTTTTAGTGGCTAATACGTCAGTCTTGACAGAAAATGATAAATTGCTTTTCAACTGAGCGCGATAGCAAAATACATTTATTTACATACGTAAAACATGCAGCTCGCATAGAGAGATAAACTCGGCAAAGGAACAGATTTTAGAATCTCTGTAGATAACGCCTGCAAATCAATAGAAGCAATCATTACCGGCTTGCGTTCGGCATCTTTCACAACGTTTATTAGTATGTGACCTAACTGTACAAATAAATTATCTCCCGTTGCCTTGGATAATATCTAACCTTTGTAATAGCGTGTATATATAGGGTTATAATAAATGTCTTCCTGTTTAGTCCCTATGTAAACAACAGTTGTGGTCCTCGAACTCAAAAAGCACAGAAAGAGTGAACTAGAATATTTTCACTTAAATCTCGCAATCAGAAGCCCGTCCACCACATATCAACGGAAAAAGCAAAACAAGAACGGTAAGTAACAAAATACAAAAAGAGAAGGGGTAAAAGTTAATTTGAGCATTGTATATGTTACAACTGATATTTCATTTGTTACTAGATTGAGATCGTTCCATGAGAAGCAAACAAAGTACTGGATATCATTCTCAGTTTACCAACTACTTTAGCATGTGGTGACATGCAATTAAACGTTACGCCATAGTACACTGGGATCGTCTAGCCGCGAGTTGAAAGAGCTAAGTCATAGAAGCTGGTCCCAGATACTTGCACAAAACCAGCACTCCTTACCAGAATTTGTTTTGATGGGAGAATCGGCAGAGGAGCTGCCCTTTTCAGTGGCAAACATCTTGAAGCTTGATTTACCAATATCGGAGGTTACGAAAAAGGGCCAATCCTCTTTCAATGCAAACAAGGCGCTTACTCTCGCTGAACGAATCGCAGGTAAGTTTTGTTTCTTTGGAGTTAAGTGTTAATACGCGACAACAATAACACGACAACCAGAACATCTATACTACTAAATGAAGCTAAATGACTTAAATTTCTTAAGTTTAATGATGCATGCATGTTCTATGGCTGATGCACATGTATCAAAACTAGAACTCTTCCCATCCTGAAACATAAAATAAAATAAAATGTTGCATTCCCTTGAATCGATATGTTAGTTTTACAACTCAGCCATGCGTTATGTTCCCCGGCTAATTTTGGGCTACAGTCGCACTTATCCCAATAGAATTCAACTGCTTTCATGCGAATACGTATGTTTTCGAGAGAATACAAGCTTTTTAAAAAGCTGGCCTTCTTTGAAAACATTCTGGCCTTTTTCTTGCCATCCGGCATTATTGAATAGGCTTGGTCATATCTTTATGCACACCAACTGAATTTTTTCAAACTTCGATGCAAAACTTGGTCATTTCGATAGACGAAAAAAAGACAAAGAACGTTTAACAGTTCCACGGTAGCTCAATATTACATTGAAGGTCCTGATGGAGACTTAATCAAATAGCTTTGTTCTTGGGTATCTTTAGAAATTCAATGGATGAAAAGCTTTTCAACGTGGGTCTATATAAGAAATGTCAAGAAAATGATTTACAAGATATTCAAATAGTATTGAGACAGGAGACTGAGTTGTGCCTTAGATCAAACTCTATATTCAGTTTTAAAAAATTGTGTTTGAACAAAATTTTAATGGAAAACTGCTCTTCATTATGTAATCACTACGCTTTGGAGCCTAGCGGGCGTTACATCATAATGGGCGGAAAGTCAAATCCCTCCTAAGTAGTGCTGATCATACATGTAAATGACTATTGACAGTGAATGTCTTTCAAACCACTACTTAGAGTTTATCGCCTCTCGGAAAGCCAGGTATACTTGTGGCACTATATAATACAAAACAGGCACATGTGATTTCTTCTCTCGGGCAGCGCAGCCACGCCGAAGATACATTCTAATCAGTATGATAACCAAATTCCCCACATCTTCTGCCTTACATTATAGAATTGACTACCGCTCAGTAGGTTGAGCGAGGGTCGCTCATTATAAGAGTCGTCGGGCTAGGAATTCTTAGAGATTAAGAACCCATACACTGGAAATGAACTCCTACAAGACAAATATCAAATATTGCTCCCATGTTATTTTTCTGGGTTGTCACTGACGAACAGTATTTCAAAATACTATTGAGTATTCCACTCAGCACCACCAAGTCATTGTGTTCGAGGTACCCAGTACGGTACATTAGCAAGAATACAGTATAGTAGCGAGATTATATTCTCTTTCAAATTCAGTCACTTGATGGAATGGACACGATTTTAATGATTACATTCCAAGTCAGGCATTCCCTGTCAGGTTGTAATTAATTGCCTTTGAGAGGTGGAAGGATGATAACCTCGAATCCTTTTAATTATTTCGCAATATGCAATGTACAGGTAAAATGATTAAATATACAGATAAATTTAACAATTTATCAAGATATGGCATCAGGTAAACGTTCCACAAATGGGAAGGGCAAAAATACGGCCGGGTACCTTCATTCTTTCTTTATTCATTCATTTGCTTCATCACGCATTTAATGGTTCACTCTTTTCTTTCATTGTCTGCATACCACTCTTTTCAGTTTACCATTTTTCCTAGAAAATAAAAGAATACTGTTAGAAAAAATACTCACTGCTAACTTAAAGTCATTTGAATATTCTTTAGACGTGATTATGGAAGCAAAGAACAACGCAAAGGGTGGGGGACAGAAGCGCCGCCGCACGCGTACAGCCTTCTCTCACTACCAATTGGCGACATTGGAAAATGCATTTTCACGTAATCACTACCCAGATGTGGTGATGCGTGAGCAGTTAACAATATGGACTGGGTTGCCCGACTCTACCATACAGGTATGAAGAATTTGAGGCCAACAGCATCGGAGCAAGTAAATTTTCCGTTTTGCAGTGAACGCGAACCAAATTTCCTTGAATGGGTAAAATATATGTTTTTGACAACTGCAATTGCTTTTGCAATCTCTGCGTTCTTCGGAACTTCGCTTAGTTTAGTTTTCATTCACGTTTTATAGATTATTATGATCCTTCACCGTTTAAGAATCATGAGAGTAACAGCTCCGTTTATGAGCCAGTTTTAAAAAACATTATGTAATGAACGAGTGAATGAATGAAAGAGCGAATGAACGAAAAAATACGAATGAATAAATGAATGAAGGAAGGAAGGAAGGAAGGAAGGAAGGAAGGAAGCAAGGTGGGAGGGAATGGACGAACATTATCGAACCTACAATCAGTAGGCATGAAAATAACGGAACTTAATAGCCCCCGGCATTGTTCAAAGTCGAATTCTTCCTGACCACGTTTAGCCCGTCATACCTTATATAATATGTTTAATTTTACGTAATGAAATTCTCAGAAAATCCGCTTTCACTGCCAATCTGTCTAAAAACATGAAAGGTAACCGCTAGGAAGAATTTTTACCCTTCACTAAAAGTGTTTTGTCATAACCGCAGATTTGGTTCAAGAATAGGAGAGCCAAGTTCCGCAAGGAAAAAAAATGTTCTATGCTCGGTGTGGACAAAGATCAGGGTGTCGCAGATTCTAATAGTACGGGAATATCAATGCGACCAGCTCTCCGCCACGCGGTTGTACCATCGTGGTCATCTCTGTTACCTGCAGCACAAGACAACAGAGCTACTACCGTGGAGCAAAACCAGCTTCGACTACCTTCCAGTGGCGAATCCAGGGGAGGGGCCCGGGGGGGGGGGGGCGGCCCCCCTTATTTTTAGACTAAACAAAAACGTTTTTTGAGACTGCACCCCTTATCTCCCCACGGTCTGGATGACCCCCCACTCACCCCCTTATCTAAAGGTCTGGATCCGCCCCTGCCTTCAAACGTTTCTTGTCATCATCGACATCCTCTTGGAAGATAACGTAACTGGAATATCATGACTATTGCTGCTTCCTTGAGTTCTAATTACGCTTGCTTGTGGATAGTAATATGTTCAGCCTCAGGGGCGGATCTAGGGGGAGGGTGCAGGGGGTGCGCACCCCCCCTTGAGATGACCTGCGGTTTTCCAACACAACTGGTATTCTGCAAAAAAAAAAGAACTATGTGGTTTGTTGGTGTTGAAGTAGAGCAAGAGACGAGTGCACCCCGTCTTAAAACAAATCCTGGATCCGCCCCTGAGCCTGCATAACAGGCATTATTTTTTGGCGTTTTTCAGATAAGCGAAGGCAAGCGCGAAACGTGCGAGGAGCCAGACCTTAAAAACGCGAAAGAATGCAGGTTATAATGCAGGTTATAATATGTGTAATGTGTTCTCAGGGGCACCCAACGGCAATTTTCGGGAAAATATCTGTTCGGAAGACGATTTGAGAACTAGAATTTTCGGAACATTTGTTGTAAAATTTCTTGCTTGCCTGCCTCTCCTAGGATTTTCGAACATCTACAAAATGGTATAATTACCCATTTTAAACGGATATTTACCCTAAAAAAGGCCACCTAGAATTTTCGGGAGGCTTCTCCGGCCTGAAATTTTCGAAAAGGTAAGTTTTGATCGCTATAATTTTCGGATCACTAGACTTTCAGCTAGGAAATCCGAACAGATGAAAAGTTTTTAGGGGATAAAAATATGCCTATATCTACCGTTTAAATACGAAAATACGTTCAACAATGTTATGTTAAGTGGTTTTGAACTATATCCTCGTTGGGTGCCCCTGTGTTCTTCTATCATGACTTAAATAATAATGATAAATATAGAGCTGGTAGAGTCAGGTAGAGAAAGCGCGGTGCATAAAAGTCTTATGCTATGAGATACCTCTAAGACTGCCCTCAGTTAATCAATAATAACATTATAAAAACATTTTCAGCAATCGGGAATCCAGTCATTTTATATGTATAAAATGAGATTGGCTCGGATGCTATGGTCGACCGAGCAACACAAGTTGGAACTAGAAAAAGCAAGAAAGCACTAGAAAAAAGGTGTTAGTTAAAACCAACCTTGGTTCTGGAATTATGTGTCAAGACCCTTCACTGAGATATGTGGCACTTAAAAATGATGCATACATATTCATCTAAGAAAAGGTGACGCAAATTGTACGAACATAATCGCAGGAAACAAATAAGTTGGGGGAACAGGAATAAAGAAAAATAAAAACAAACATTACCACACCCAAGGAGACACTTCTGAAAGTTTGGTTTCCCTACAAATTGCGGTAAACCCACGCTCCGGGAGTTACCAATGGAGTAACTTTGTAACCAGACAGACTGAGAAGACATTTCTAAAACGCGTCATCCGTTGACTCCTTTCTTCCGCAAAATTTTCCTGTGAAGTTCTTCTGAAAGATTCAGCACAAAAATTCTTGATGCACATTTTTGGTCAGATATCCTTGACTTAAATATTTGCATATGACATTCAGAATAATAATTAAATCGCTATCCTGCGGATTCTAAAGTCGCTACAATGCGTTACAGTATACATGCTATGTGTTACAGTACACAGTTTACCAGACCTCTCTGGATGTGGCGCCCAGTCACAGAAACGCCCACGTTTATTAATCTCTCTCTTTCACTTAGAAAGTTTCATTTATTAAGACACGGTTTAGACCTTCCCATGTAGTTATCTTAACCTCTCTGCTCGTTTATTTTGAGAACTGGCAATCAGAATAGAAAGCTTAACAGCTAACTGTACCGTTCCAAATTCTTAGTGAGTACCTCTTGTAAATTCAGTATCAAGTTATATACTCTGCAACGTCTGGCCAGATTTCACAACTGGTTTTTTGTAATCAGGGAGTTCATAGGCGCCTGTCGCAAGGATATCCGCGTGTTCTCTCCAGCTCATACACTAGGGAAGCGGCACACAAACCATATAAAAAAAGAAAAATGCCATGCCAATGCTTCCTTACGACACAGCAGGCAAAACATTAACATTCGATTTTCACACCCTCTCTTTGGGGTAACGGAAAATCAGATTACCTTAAGGCGATAATGAACACTTAGGGTTCCCTTGAGCCCTTGATCGGTTTTTACAGCTTTGTTTTATAAATTCTGAAATAGAAGCGAGATTATCGGCGGTCTGTAAACTTTCTATATAATAAACACGTGCTCACTTTTGCAGCCCTGAGAAGCAAAGAATACTGTGACACTGACTACGTCCCTTCCCTCTATTTTCTTAAGAGGGATGGAAAATTTTGGGCATACCCGTACAGAAGGTGTGCTCAAAGATGTGCTATCAAGTAAGTCTGTGAAGTGTTACTTGAAAAAACGGCCATGCAATTAAAACTACCACCATTACGGTTTGTGTACATTGTTGTTATTATTCTAATTACTTTCTACGCAGGAGGTCCATGATAAAAAGTAAAGACGTGACTGGAAGGGGAAGTTGTTTTTCGCCCGCTTTCCTTCTATCAATTTCTTTTTTTATCATTATCAAAATCTAAAGGAACATGAACTAAAAAAAAATGGTAGAGAAGTGACAATTCGATCGGCAGTTACAATGAAAATCCCTTCCTACAAGTACTGATTAGTAAATTGCGGATTTAATGCCATTATGAGGGATTATAGCATCGGCTTAGAAATAATTTGAAGAGCGACTAATGGTTTTCAATAAAGCTTTTCTTTTCTACATCAATTATGTTCTTCTGGAGGAGAACTGAAAGTCGGGTCTTTTATTCGAAGACAAAAGGAGCAACACGAATAGAAAAGTAGCTCTTTGCTCTTTCCATAACGAGAAGCAAGAGTCAAGAGCAATTTAGGTTGTTTTTATGTTTCTAAAACGGTCTGATATTAACTTTCGCTACCGGATAAATGTACGGGCCAAAAGTCAAGAGGGGCTTTAGTATCATCGATTTTTAAGTCAAAAAAAATATATAAGATAATGGTGTTCAAAGAAAGCTCAGGCAAAAGTGCGATTTGCACGTATCAGTAATAGCTCCCATACAAAAAGATCGTGCTAATTGGTTACTACCACAATAACTGCCTTTAGGTGGGGTATAGTCATTTCCAATTAAATTACCATCAATCAGAGCGACAGGTTTCACTTATCGGCATTTTACCAAAACAAATACCGGCAGCAAAAGAAGGGAGATTTGAATCATCAATCAAACACGTTAGAGGGACGACGTGCAAGTTTCGTACGCGAGGTTCATTTGTCGGCTGTTTTGGATCACCAGCAAAGTGAGCAGGAGTCTAAAGGTATCCGTTATGTTAATAATCTCTGGTTTATATGCGGGGGTAGAATTGGGCCATTAACTAATTTCATTTCTGCCGCTTCAGGTCCCCAATAATCTTCTCTAGATAAGTGGAGGCACTACACAGTTTTCAACAGTGTTTTTAACCAGCTTCCGTAGCCTGTAGTACCGCACCTAACATACTCACATCTACTGAATAAAGTATATACTCATCGTCTATGTTTCTTACATTCGTTTTCTTTCTATTTTCTTTTGGTTTTATTTTTTGAATTTCTATTCCATTTTGATATCCAAAAAGGGGTTTTGAACAAAGCCTTTAGGAGCAAATATCGAACTTCTGGGCTAATATACTGTTTGTATAAAACTCTCACCCGAAACAATGTCATAATTCATCAATTGTAAATGTTCATGCTAATGCATAAAATATTGGAATGCAGGCCACTTAGCGAAGTGTACACAAAATAATCGCATTAAAATACCGACCCGGTAAGGCCGTTTAGAGCTACAGCCATAAGAGTGTATGCACACTAAGACTTAAAATACAAATGTGATCATAAATAAAATTATCATGTTCAGTTGAAATAGCATTACGTAAAAATTTTGATGTCCGTAATCTTAATTAAAATTCTTCCAATTCGATATGGCTAAACTAATGTTTTAAAAAGACTTAGAGATCGTCTTCGTAGACTAGAGGAATTTTCGGATTTCTCGCGCATCACTGCCGAGGATGTTAGCTCAGCAGGTATGAAACTCCTGTAATACCGTGTGACAGTTTCCAGAAAACACCACAGAAGTTACGTAGTAAAACCACGCCGACTTCCGACTATAAAACCATGTGAGCTCATGATTGCAGCCTGAAAAGAACGTTAACGTTTATCGGTATTTCACTCTAAACTTATCCTTTCTTCAGGGTTGCGGCTTCGCCTTTTGCGACAACTAAGATCATCAGCGTGTGCCTCATCATCTTACCTAATGGATTCCGCGTCGTCATTTTCAATCGACAATATATTAAGAAATAATCCATCATCGAGAAATACAAGCCAGTTGTTTAGTGGACAGAATGGACACCGCGCTCTCACATTAGCGGAGCGCTTAGCAGGTATGTTGTAGAACTTTAATTTCTTTCTTAATTTGATATTTGGAACTATCATATTTGAAACAGCTAAGAGAAAGGGTGAAATTAAATCAACCATCTGCAAAACACTTTATCATCGATTAAATCGTCAACGCGAGAATGAAATTATGATTGACTTAGGCGGTTTTACATGTAAACCCATGGAGTTTTTATAGCATCAGACTGAAAACGCGAAATCCTTATTCATTTGGGTTATAATTCTACGAGGAAACTAATGCTATCCTTGCTTATGCCACTTCCCTCGAGAAAAATATTCAGGCCAAGGATAAAGAACTGACTTCAAATCCGTTCAGATGCATTTCAAAAGAAACAGAGCAAACTATCTACTGCCTCTTAGTATCTGTCAGTAAGAGCTCAATGGATAGACGGGTTGTTTATTTGGTATGAGTTGATGTTGTTTCAAAAAGCCACCTTGTGAGTTATCATTCAATTCACTTATTTAGCTAACACGCCAGTCATTTTCCCTGAAATTTTCGGTGGCTCTATTTCTTCAGTTTAAAAAAAGATCTGTGTTTCAGTTAAAGGGAAACAAAATACAACAAACTCTGCAGTTTGCAGGGTGGCAATGCGTAATCTCGTAAATCTCACCACAATGCATACTTTCATTACCATTTAAACCAGGCAGTTAAACTTGTAAAGCTACATGCGAACGGACGCAACAATGTTAGCCTATTGTTCAACATTGTTGCGTCCGTTTGCTAAAAGTTTGACCGGTTTCAAACTCTGCGCAGCAACATGCAACAGGGTGCGCAAACGAACGCAACATGTAAAATCCAACAATGTTGGGAGTTGTTGGTCACCAATTTTTTACGTCCTTTTGCACGTAGCTTAAAAACCACATGGAACGAAAGCTGACAAAAAATGAATATCAAATCTATTCAGCGATTCTGAAACTCCAACTAAAAAGTATAAGAGGAAAGGTGGGCGATAATATATCAGTCTGAAAAGGCGGGAGAGCCTCTCTCTTGTTGGGGCTGCGTCCTTCAGTAGTTCCACTGTGCAGTCCTATGGTCTCCCGTTCCCCTGGGAGACTTTTGATTTTGGGGTGGGCCTGAATGCATTCCAGTGCTTAAGTGTCAAGGGAAAGAAACATAGCCGTGAGCACGGTAATTTTAGTTGCACAGCATTTGGTTTCTTCCGGCAATAACATGTGCTTTGTTTTTCAAATTAAAAGGTTTTTAAACAAATGAAAGGATTTCTTTTCTCTGTTAACAAAAAGTTTTTGAGTGGTCGGCGCGAGGACTGGATGGTGGTTTTCGTCGAGCGCCGCGGCAAAAAAATACGGATGTATTTTTTCACACATACATATTTTTGGTAATTCACTCTCACGTAAAAACTACTTGTTTTACATATTTGTTCATACATACGGATGTGACCAGGAATTGAACTATCAAATAGGACTGTACACTCTTTTTTTTATATATATAAATGTTGTTTTTCCGGCCGGGGCTAAATATTTTTATTTTTTTGTCGATTTTACGCTGAAAATATTTCGTTGAATTATTCTTAATTATTAATTATAGCCTGTGCCATTTTCCGCTTTAGAATGTATTAGGATTTCAATTACCAGTGTTCTACCCTGGGTACCAGTTTTCTTGCCGTTTAGCAAAAGGAATAATTTTCGGGAAAAAAAGAACGGGTCACTTTAAAACCAAAACCGGAAAATGTACTGAAAAGTTTCTGGCATCCAGGGATGTTCTTGCCGTTTAGTAAAAGGAATAATTTTCGAGTTTAAACCAATATGAATATTCTTTCAAAATTTTTCAAATTTTCAGCCTCAATATTTTAATAAAATATAATTGTTATGGAAAAAAAAAGCGTACGGTGTTGCAACGTGTTTGTTTAATCCAAATAAAATACTAATGTTTCTATAGTTTTGTCAGCTTGTAGTTTTAATGAAAAAGGAAGAATTTACCAAAATAATTTACCAAAATTAAACTAGCGGAATGTGTTTGTTGCAGATGTAATCCTTGAGGTTCACTACAGTACCGCAAGGGGGAAGCACCGTCGATCGCGCACAGCTTTTACTTATCAACAGCTTCAGCTGCTAGAAAACACCTTTAGTAAAACGCATTACCCGGATGTTGTTATGAGAGAACAGTTGGCACATTGGACAGATCTTCCAGAATCAAGAATTCAGGTACGAGGAATTACTGTCAGTTAAAAATTGTGTACCACCAAAAAAGTCATCATAGACCAACTCATTGATATTTTCCACAGCCAATAACAATTTTAGCTTAAGGAATAGTCCTACCACTCTTTTTTTATAAGAATATATTTTATAAGAATACTGAGGCTGAAATTTGGGAAAACTTCTGAATATTTTAAGATTCGTAAACCCCGGGCTGATTCCTTTCTCTAAACGCAAAACTAATCAACAAAAGGAAAAGAAAAGAGTATATGCGTGCTTCTGGTTATGTGAACAGTTGTTTGAAGAAATTAGAGTCAAACCTTTCTGCAAAGGCAATCTTGGTGAAAGAGGCCAGTGGCCATTGTAGAGTGGTAGCCATTCTGGTGATGAAGGCGCAAAGTGACACTACTTTTGAAGGAAAAGGGGTGGAACACTCATATTCTTAAAAATGTTTACTATAGTATATACATGAAGGTAACACAAGCAAAATGGGTCAGCAAAACAGAAAACAAATTTTGGCAACAAAAATATTTTAAAATACTGTAGGTAAAGGTACAATGAATATGTTGTGGTTCAATTTTATCGTTGGTTTCAAATTTTATTTTCATTTGTTTCAAACTCATCACACATTACCATACCTCAAAAAACAAGGTTAAAATTGAACTACGACAAATATATTTATCAGGAGCCTATTACCCGTATTTGTACATCATTTACTTAAATGGCCAATGTGGAAAGGTTATAGTAACACTAGGGAGGCGTTTTACTAACCGTCACCGTTATAGTGGTAAAACGGTGAATGTAAGGAAAGGTCCCCCGGACAAAAAACAGAGGCCGGTGTGGAAAGATGGCTGTTAGAAGAGGTTCCACAACACGTCATACTAGCCAGTACACATGCACTTTTTTCTTCCTTTTTATTTTCATTTGGCGAGTGTGGAGAAAACCTTGCACTTAAGGTCAAAAAATCTTCCGCGGTTATTATTTTCTTACTAGCGCTCGAACATCTCTAAAAAGAAACGTTAGTTGTCTGTGAACAAGCTAATGGCGCGGACACGGACACATAGAGTGAAGGTTCATGGTTGAATCTTCGTTTTTTATGAAAAGACAGTGGTATTTACATTACACATGTTACATTACATAGGTTTGGTTCAAAAACCGAAGGGCCAAGCACAGAAAGCAAGAACAAGTGAGAAAATTTAAAAATTCTGGCAGCGGCGTTAAGCCTTCCTCTAAAATGGAAAAAACACTGGATAACACTACTTCAGAGAGTAAGGCAACAATGAGAGTTCCATTGCCGGTCCCACCGAGTATAAGTCTAACAGACGACAGTACACCGTCATCAGCAGAAACGACAGTTAAAACAACTAAACGTGAATTAGCAATAAGTGCAAAGTTAACTTCAAACACAAGCGCCCAGATATTTTCCCATCATGGACAGCCCTACACTTACGAACAATATCCAGTCAACCGGTACGATAATCAGTGGCTTTGCTCTGATCTAGAGTCTAGTTATCCAGCTCTACCAGCGATTGACAACGGCGCTCATAGTTGTTCTGGTTTTGACCACGATATGAGGCCAGAAAGAAACATACCAAGTGCAACATTCTCTGCAAGGAGACCTACTTCATCAAGTGTCGATTTGTGGCGATGTCAGGCAGGCTTACACAGCGGCTATTGTAAATGGACCGGTCCTACGGGGTGTTACCCATACTGAAATGTACACGAATTTCATTTGTTGATAGTTGTTAAAGGAGCGAGGAGAGGAATGGGTGGCGGAGGTTTGATCTAATTAGAAGAGGAAATGATCAAAAAGAGAAGCACCCGAAGCGAACTTATATACCGGCGTGTTAGGTAAATACGGGCATGTCATATTTTGTCAGTCAGTTTTCGGTCTCCTATAAGTAGAGTTTATTTAAACGACTGTATTATTTCATCTCTTCCCTTCACACCTTTCCCCAAAAAAGATGCTTCATGATTCACACAATTGTAGCTCCTAAGTCTTCAGAAACTTTCGGAGGGCTTTCTTACTTGCTTGTTAGTTCGTTTCTTTTTTTTTGCTCCGAATTATGTATAGAACAGGCTAACCATCCCGATAACTTGGTGAGCCTGTGCCACTAGGTAGTAAAACGAAATCAGTGAACGAGCAAAGAGTTTCAAATTAAAAAACGTAAATTTATATTGGTTTCTGTTACTGTTAGTATGCCCTTTGGTTCAGTTATAATAGAATAAGTCTTGATTCGAGAAGCTGTTTCAAGTTTCCTCCTCTTTCAATACACCTAAGAACGTTTTGTAGGGAAAATACCCTCTTATCTGCAATAGAAATTAGAGAAATTTTAACAGAAAGTACAACTATTTATAAAGGGACATTTGTGCAGTATAAAAATGCATTTATAGCATATTCTGCTAGAAAAATAAACGTGAAAATACTTTTACTTTACTTGTGTCTATATCTTTTTGAATTAAGGCTGAGAGACCATGATGTTCGCAGTGTCGCATAAGCTAATATATTCATCAAAGTGTCTTTCGAGAAGACAAAAGAATTGCATCGAGTACATAGACCCTTACTAATGTTACTATCTTTCAAAAGTATACGTTACATTACCATCAATCGACTAGCGGTAAACTTTGCATCGGGACAATTTCAAGGCTTTCTGGTTACCCTCAACAGCTATCATTCATGCTACTGTCATGCAATTCGCACTCTTTCGGTCTGCCCCTCGGTGTTCATTGCGCTTCGACTTTTACGTTCTTCGGCATATTCGTTTGCGTTCCTTTGCAGTCTTTTGTGGTTAACGTTTGTACCATAAATTGACCTAGGAACTCATCTTGAAAAGTCACTGGGTGACTTCTTTCATTGTCCTTTTATGAGCGATTGTTACGAGACGGAGCCGGAGCGGGAACTTTCCCAAGGGGGGTACTCCCTAGAATGGCCTATACGGAGAGGCTCCGTCAGAAAGCGGTAACTTTTTCAGGCTTCGAGTATATGAAAGGGTATGGATTCAGTTACTAGCTGAAGTAGGGAAATCTGTCATTTCGGTCTGTAAAATGACCTAAAAGGGCTCCACATGGATCTTATGGCTTTGAAAAAGTCGGGAAAAACTCTATATTTGCAGATAGAAAAATAATGTCCGTGGCTCTAGAGATATGTCCAAGTTTGCATGCAATAGCAAACACTGCGAAAAAATGGAGAAATCGCAGTTTTTGCTAAAAATACTAAATTCAAGAGTTAAAAGAGGTAGAAGGGTGCCCAGCAAAAATTGCGATTTCTGCAATTTTTGCTGCAATTTTTGTGATTTCTCCAAAAATTGCGAAAACTTTGAGAAATCGCAGTTTTTGCTAAAAATACTAAATTCAAGAGTTAAGAGGTAGACGGATGCCCATTATTTTCGCGATTTCTCCAAAAGTTGCGAAAAATTGGAGAAATCGCAGTATTTTGCTAAAATTACTAAATTCAAGAGTTAACGAAGGGAGAAGGGTGCCCAGCAAAAACTGCGAAAAATTGGAGAAGTCGCAATTTTTGCTAAAATTACTAAATTTATGCAAAAATGCGATTTCTGCTACTTGTCCAAACACAACTGAGGTAATACGAAAACATTTGTTCAAGAAAGCAATTATTAAGTTATCCAAAACAAATTGAGAAAATTTCCGTTTCCTTTCAGAATCACATAAATATAATTAGTTAAACTGACATCAAACCATGAAAAAAAAATATCGTTTGGATTCACTATACGTCGCGACCACTCAAATGAAAGCCCGGCGTAAGTGTACCGGCAGTTAAATAAAAATTTGACTTGGACCTTTCATGGACAGGAAAACGGTAATCCGGTAACGGTAAGTATATTACTATCTAGTAAAAAATCCTTTCCGTTCTGAATCCGCTAACAGGACGTGTATTGCTGCGAACGTTCTGTTACTATCGACCAAACATCAACAGACCAAATTCTCCTGCCTATCCCTGTACAATTAACTACTGAAGAGAACGTGAGGATTATGCGCTAAAATAAACACGCTCAATATTAGTAAGTTATCCACAGATTCTCAGTCCACTCTAATTTATCGACGCGATCCTCTACGTCATTTATTTTTCATTTGAATCAAATTAAAATGTGTTTCGTTTTCCTGCCTCTTTATAAAAGATTCTCTTAGTTTCTACACTCTACTTCCAGTCGCCCAATGTAAAGAAATCGACAAAGTAATGTCAGCCACTATAACCGTCACTTTGTTTTATTTTTATGAGCAGAACTAGGTTGAAATGGATGTAAATACAAGGGAAGATTACTGTGGATGAGTATTTTGTGTGTTTGTTGTATGAAAAGGGGGATGGGAAGTGCTGCGAAGGGAGATTGACGGCATGAAAGTTGGAGAAACTATCAACCGACATCCATTTAAGCCCGTTTTCTTTTATTGTTCTCGAAATACTATTTACAACGGAGTATATAATTTCTGAATCTATCTCAGGAAATTATCCCTCCCATGTGTGGAAGCCCACAAGCTTGTAGCTTTGAATTAATATCATGTATCAATAAAGGTTGTATGTATGTAAGCCCCATAAGAAACTTTGACTCTAATTGAAGAAAACGTAGGGTGAATGCTATTGACGTATTATTGACAGTTGAATGGTACAGCAGATGTTAAAGGGCGTAAATTTTCGGTAACTGGGCGAAAAACAGCGGTATTCAAGAGTTCCCGCCGCATTGAAAGCCCATCCACTTTTCGTGTATCAAGCCTAGTAACATCACGAGGTAATTTATTTAATCAGATTTAAATGATTGTTTATTTTCCCTATAAAGGTAACTGCTCATGACTCCCGCCTTTCAGAGCATAACGCGTTTCTCGTAATTAAGTTACGAACTAATCTCCCTTAACCCTCAAGACCTTCAAAAGCGCCAATAAGTTTACCTCACTCGTGGGCAGGTATTTATCTCGATACACTGACACTGGCAAGACGCGAATGTTTGCAGATATTGCAAAGTAGTACCAACTTTACTTCTTCTTGTAATGTAAATATCCCTAATGCCTGTCGGAATAGGTTATAAAAGTGGCACTGCGGTCCTAATCGCGTTGACTTTGTGAAACGTTGGGCCAAGTAAGTCAGTTATAATGTTAAATACTGGGGAGAAAGCCATGTTAATAGTAGAGTACGATAAAAGTGCGAGTACTTTCAAGTTTTACGTGAACTAAGAGTAACGAGGGAAGTGCTCTTGATGAGAACTGCACGAAAAGCACGAGCACATGTCGAGTACACTATAAAGCTTGCAAGTTCATTGGTGTTGAAAAGTGCTTATGGAATTGAACAGTACACTGACAAGGAGAAAGGTTTTAAATTCTTTCAATCAATGTTCCGGGCAAAAACTTCGCGCGCTCGTTACTGCCACGGACATACGGGCATTGTACATTCCTCAAAGCAGGGGGTGAAGGATTCTACGGGGCGCCTTAAACTAATGACAATATAACAAAGTCGTTCTCACCAATCATTCGAAATCATGCTACGCGAACTTCTTATCTTTTATTCCAAATAGATCGTTGGAGCTTAACTTGACTTATACAGTGACCTTAACGCCGCTGTCTCTTAACACAATGGTGCATCATGCAGGGGCACCTTCAGTGGATTTAGTTGAGGAGTGCAGTTTGTTTTTTCTTATCTATCAATGTTCACTTATTAGCATTCACAATGTGATATAACAGAGGTAAATCAAACCTATACACGTTGCTTTGATGTCGTATTTCGTCTCTTTCTTCCTTTCTTTCGTCTCTTTTTTTATCCCTTTCTTATTTTACTTGAAAAACAAACACTATTTGCAAGTCAGACGTCCAGGACTAATTTTCGGAAAAAAGACCAATGACATACGTTTACGGTTAGAATTTATATCCTACGTTCTATCCACCGAACTAAAGTTCTTCACTGCAAAGGAAGACTTATAAGGTTTAAGAGACAGGCAGCTCCTGTATAGTCTCGGAAGAAAGAGTTCCCATTCGAGCAAGTCACGGAAGTTGCAAACGAGCAAATGGCACTTAGCGGCAAAGCAAAACTTTAATTTACCCACGGTATATTCTTAACGTGATTGTTTAACAAAACAACAACAACAACAAAAACGTCGTATATCTGAATCAGATGTTAAACTGAAAATTTTCTTTAGAAAGAACAATCGTGGTCACCTGGTTTGAGGGCTAAGCTAACCGGCTATCTTTCATTTCAGCTTAAGGCAGCAATAAACAATGTCAGTGCCGCTGTAGCACTGATGGAGACAAGACTGCATGCTGGGTGAACTAATCTGGTTTAATGAGATCACTACAAAAGGTCACGAAAGCGATCAAGAGGATTTATGATTTATTATCGTTCGCAGTTCTCAAGCCAAAAATAGTGTTTGTCGTCTTTATTTATTTATTTTTTAGTTATAACTCATGCTTTTTTCTTTTCTAACCATCTGTCCTATTAGTTTTTTCATTCTGTTTTATTGTGTTCATTTTTTACACTACTGATATGAACTTATTGCAGGCCTTACGTAGTATCAAGGGCGCGTGCCTTTCCCAGAATTAACCTCTTCACTGAAAGATTGTTTTTGTTCATCTAGTTTGGTTTGAATGGGTAAGTCAGGGTTATGTTTATGACATTACAAGTGCTATGTTCGTTTTGGTCGATGTTGGTATGTGCCACATGTGGCGAAAGGTTCAATGGAGTTTCCTTTATAGTTCGTATTAAAACAACGGGTTGGT